CTACTACTACGACAACTATAACGGATACTAGTAAGACTACAACTAGTATCCTACTACCACAAAATACCAAGAGTTCTGCTCATACTACTGTTACTACTACTACTACTACTACTACTACTACTACTACTACTAATAATAATAATAATAATACTTCTACTACTGCTACACACTGATACTGATACTGCTAGCGCACTTACTCCTACTACTCCTGCCACCACCACCACAATGTTGGTGGTGCCCCTCTTACGATTACGATTGGTACCGATACTTCCGCTGCCATCACCTCTACCACAACTGCAGCAACCAGTACTGGTTATAATACGCCTTCCACTACGAGTGGTACTACGAGTACCATGTGTATTACGAGGCATCATAATGATATTGCTGTCAGTAATACCACTACCCAATGTATGATTACGATTGGTAGTAGTACCAATCATATTACATATCATTACTGCGACTACTACGCGTCTTACTATGGCTACCCGAGACAGTGTGATTACTAATACGATTGATCATATCACTACTATTCCGGCTATCACTGGCACGTGTCTTATCATTATTGATGCTACTGTTGTACGACTGCTACGATGTCTACCATTACTGATCATTTTACTATTCGTATTACTATTAGTAATATTATTTCCTACCCGTACTATTAGTCGTACTAATAGTAGTACTATCACGATTACTACTATTACGATTGATACTACTTCAACTTGTTCGACCACACGTGTTATTGCTACGATTACTCATACTACCTCTACTGTTAGCACTACCAGTACGAATACGAATATCATTCGTACCAGTACCACTTACGCCACCAGTTCCGATAGTTCCACTAACACTACTACCGCGACTACCGTTCCCACATATGCAACTGCTACGAGTATGTGTTACTACCACTATTATCCATAATACCAGTAGTACTGCTAGTACTACTGGTACTACTCGTGCTCCTACGATTACCCGTGCCACCAGTACCACCAGCACAACTAGTACTACTAGTACTAATACTACCAGCACTATTGATATTGATAGTATTTCCAGCACGACGAGCGCTCCTACTCCTCGGATAGTACCATGAATACCACTAGTATTATTAGTACGGCAAGTATCACTAGTGCCAGTAGTACCACCAGTACTGCCGCTAGTACTACTAACGGTACTAGTACCAATCGTACGATTAATACCGCTAGTACCACTGGTACTACTCGTAGTGCTACCCCTACTAGTACGACGACGACAACTATAACGTATATTTGTACTACTACAACTAGTATCCGACTACCGCAACATACCACGAGTTCTACCCCTACTACTGCTACTACTACGACCACCACTACTTTTATTTCTACTACTACTACTGCTGCTACTACTACTACTACTACTACTACTACTACTACTATTAATACTACTACTACAAGCACGACTACTACTACTACTATTACTACTACTACTACTACTACTACTACTACTACCACTACTACTACTACTACTACTACTACTACTACTACTACTACTACTACTACTACTACTACTACTACTACTACTACTACTACTACTACTACTACGACGACTACTACTACTACTACTACTACTACTATTACGATCACTAACAACACTAATACTAGTATTCATTCCTATTCCTATTACTACGACTCGTCCTGAGGACTCCGCTTACTGCATGCGGTACTGTACGCTGCACTGTCTCGGTGTTGTCCAAGAATTGCAGGGTTATTGCGTGAGCATTGTCGAACGCTTGACGGGGCTTGCAGGGTTATTGTAAGGGCTCTCCGGGATGATGTCCTCAGATTGTTTGGGTAATGTATGGTTGTTGCTTAGGGTACAGTTGGAGTTTTCATCGGGTATTGTTTGGGTGCTGTCTGGAGGCGTCTGGGATACAGTCGGCTTGCTGTCTCGATGTTGCCTGCTGTACTGTTCCAGTACTGTGTTGGGTCTTGTTTGATTGTTGTCCGAGGTTCTGTTTGGGTTCTTCCTGGGTGTTGTCCGGGTAACGCTTCTCTGCTATCTTAGTGCGGCCTTGCTTGCGTTCAATTTGGTATGATTTGGGCGCCGTCCCAGATGCCGCGCAGGCGCTGTATGTATGCTTCTTGGGGCTGCTTGCGCTGTTGTGTTGGTGTTGGTTGGGTTCTGACCAGCTGTTGTCTGGAACGTTAGCTGTGGACTGTCTTCGAGGTGTCCAGGATACAGTATGATACAGCACGTGTGCTGTCTCAACATTGTCGGAGTTCTTAGTTCTTGTCCTCGCAATGAGCCGTCCACGAACACAGCACGTAGACAGCAACCCAGACAGAACCCCGACAGCATCGGCACGTACACAGCGCCCAGACGGCACCCCATAGAGCATTCATACAGCACCCGGACAGTACGACGGCACAGTCCAGACGGTACAGCACCCAGGCAGCGCGCAAACAGTACAGCACCCAGGCAGCGCTCAGACAGCACCCACAGAGCACACGCACATTTCACAACTTGGAAGGAAGGAGGTATACATGTATACATGTGTGTAGTGAGGGGTAGAGTAGAGTAGAGTACAGCGGAGTAGAGCGGAGTAGAGTCTGGAAGATTTCTTGACGCTTCGCGTCTCCCTACCAGCCCATTTAGAAACGATGCCCGTAAGAGCTCGCGGGGGAATTGAGGAAGAGGCACACATAGTGAAACAGCGCGGACAATAAGGGTGAATTGGGAGATCTCTGGAGCGAGGGGTGCCGGTGTTGCTGGTGCTGCTGCTGCTAGTGTTGTTGTTGTTGTTGTTGTTGTTGTTGTTGTAATTGGTGTTGGTGTTGGTGTTGGTGTTGGTGTTGGTGTTGGTGTTGGTGTTGGTGTTGGTGTTGGTGTTGTTGCTGCTTCTGGTGCTGCTGCTGGTGCTGCTGCCGCTGGTGGTGCTGCTGCTGGTGTTGCTGATGTTGGTGCTGCTGCTGGTGCTGTTGCTGCTGCTGCTGGCACTGGTGCTGCTGGTGCTGCTGCTCTTGGTGTTGCTGGTGTTGCTTCTGCTGCTGGTCCTGCTGGTTCTGGTGCTGCTAGTGCTGCTGCTGCTGCTGCTGCTGCTGCTGCTGCTGGCGCTGCTGGTGCTGCTAGTGTTGCTGCTGCTGCTGGTGCTGGTGATCCCTCAGGGTCCTTTTTAGGGTTCTCTTGGGACGTTTTTGGAAGGTCTTGGGGTCTTCGATTTCAACCCCAAGACCTTCTTCAAAGGTCGCGTCCTCGATTTCGACCCTACTCTTCAGAAGCCCGCAAAATCGCCTCTTGGAGCCCTCTTGGGGATCTTTTGTGGAGTCTTGGGGTCCTCTTGGGCCCTTTGAGGTTTGGGGCTCTCCCGAAGGCAAGAAGGGCTTTGGAAGAGGAAAGAAAGAACTCGCTAGACCACCTGCGCCCACAGGATTGGTGGGATTATGTGGATTGGCGTGGAGTGGAGCAGGGTGTCCTTTTCCTCCTCCTCCTCCTCCTCCTCCTCCTCCTCCTCCTCCTCCTCCTCCTCCTCCTCCTCCTCCTCCTCGTCGTTTTGTCATCGACCGCATTGCCTCAGATCGCCACTGCCAGACACCAGCGACCAAAATCCTGAGAACCCCGATCGCTACGGATGGAGTCCCTCCTCATTTTCCTCCCCCTCATCTTCACCATCCTCATCAGCATAGTATTAGCATCCTCTTCATCAGTCTCCACCTCCTCAACCCCATAATCATTACCACCATCATCAACATCATCGTCGTCTTCGTCATCATCATCATCATCGTCGTCATCGTCATCATCATAGTCATCATTATCATCATCATCATCACCATCGCCAGCCTCACCAGTATGATCATCGTCATCGTCGTCGTCATTGTCATCATCATCACCGTCATCAGCATCAGCAGTAGCATCATCATCGTCGTCGTCGCGATCCTCCTCTTCCTCATCCTCCGCATCCTCATCCTCATCCTCGTCCTCCCTCTGCTCCTGAATCCTCCTCCTGGTCCCTCTCACTCGTTCATGATGCCGCCAGTGTGGCTCGAGGCTGCTCGGCCCGCGTGCGCCTCCCGCGGCGGCCCGCCGTCCTCGAGATTGCCCGTCGGCCAGCGCGGCGAGCTGGCAGTCTGCTTGCCGCATGCCCGACGCCATGGCGTCCGTCAGCGCGCAGGACGAGCGCTCCAGGAGCCCGAGGAGGATCAGCAGTGGGGTCATCGATAGCTTGTGCACAGCGACGGCCGATTTGCTCCGACTGAAAGACCAGCATGGCGATACACTCTCTCGTCTCGCTACCAAGACGGGCGAGAGCAGGGCACTCTCGGAGAAGGTGGAGAGCCTGAAGAAGGAGAAGGCGGAGTTGAACAAGCGCCCGATAGTCTATGCTACCACGGAGAAGGAGCTGAAAGAAAAGGTGCAGAGGCAGGCCGGCGCTGCGGAGTCTTCCCGGGCTGCGCTGAAAGTGTCAGAGAGCAAGCTCGTCGAGGAACGTCAGCGAAGCCAGAGGCTTGAGATGGAGAGCGCCAAGCAAGCTGAACGAGCGGTGGCGCGACAGGCTACCATCGAGCACTTGCAGAAGGACGCAGCTACGTTGAAGGCGACTCTCGCCAAGAAGGCCGCCTTCCTGGACCAGCGAACTCGGGAGCGCGACGAGGCAGAGCAGGCCATCGAGGACGAGATGGAGCGGAAACGCCACATGGAGCTCAACATGTCGGCGCTCGAGGGCGACATCGCGCGGGCGCAGGAGGAACAAGCCCGCTTGGAAGCCCGCGCGTCGGCCGCCGAGCAGTCGCTCGCTTCGATTGCCCCAGCAAGCGTCGGCGACGCCGAAACTGTCGACTCGGTGTTGGCAGACCTGCTCAGCGGTGGCGACGATTGCGCCGTCGCGGCGCATCAGAGTGACGACGACGTTGGCATGGTCGCGGACTTGGAGGGCGCGGACGGCTCGGAGAGCGCGGAGGCGGAGGAGCACGACGCAGGCGGCCAGGCCCAGGAGGCGCCCTCGGCCGAAGCCCCTTTCCGACCCGCCCGAGGAGACGGACGCAGTCGCCTTGGAAAAGAAGCTAGGTGCCAAACGGTACAAGACGGACGACGAGAAGATGATGCACTGGGACATCCGCAAGGACCCCTCCATCGCAGACAAGCGATGCACCAAGTGCGGCGACGCAGACAAATTCGAGGTCAAGTGCGCGCATTGCCTCGCATGGCACGCGATGGTCGGCTGCAGTTTTAGCCATCACTACACCCACGTGAAGAACCACTGCGAGGGGAAGCGCAGGATGGACGCGCCAGGAGGCAAAGGACGCGGCCTGGATGCACTCTTCACTCCGAGGAAGCTGGCGATCGAGCCCATGAGCGAATCCGCGGTTGAATCCCCACCGAAGGAGGCGCCCAAGCCTCTCCCGTGCGAGGGCGTGGCGCCCTTCGCGTCGCTGGAGGCGGCGAAGATGAAAGAAGCGTTGAAGGAGGACTGGGAGGAAGCCTGCAAGAGGCTCAATTTGGACGCCGCAGCCGAGAGGTGGAGGCTGCTCGCGGACACCTACCGCACATTCTTGAAAGGCTCCGCCTACGAGGTGCGCAAGGCGACCGCCTCCTCAGCAGAGCGCCTCCATGCGCCTGGGTGCGGCGGCGAGGTGGCGGCGCACAGGAGATCGCGAAAGGTCCAGGGGGTGCGCAGAATTCGGGGCCGGCTGGGGGGCCGCCACGGGGGGCCGCGCCCACGGCGGCGGGCCGCGGGCGCCCCCCACGCCAGGCGAACCCCCTGGCTTACCCGAGGCATCCCCTGGGTTCGCCTCAGGCGCGCACTAGGCCTGCACTGGGCCCACCTTGGATGTACTACGCCTCACCCTGGGACCATCCTAGGGCCGAGGTCCCCAGCCATCGGCCTGCGCAGGCGCACCCGAGGCCCGCGGCATGCCCGCCCCAGGCTTTCTCTGAGTGAACCCTGGGCTTACACAGGCGTACCCCAGGCTTCCCCAGGGCTACCATAGGCTTACCCTGGTTTGGTTTGACCTCTGGCCTCTGGGCTTACCCCAGGATTTGCCAGAATTGCTTTCGTTAGCCCGAGGCGCGTCCCAGGCCAGGGCCCGCCCGCAGGCGGCGCTACCCCCGGGCCCCGTTCTGATGTCTCGAGAGGTGCCTGGCTGGGTCCCCGACCGTTCCGATCAGATCCTGACCGCGCGCCTTACGCGCGACAAGTGCGTGGCGCTGGAGGACGAGATGAAGAGAGCGCTGAATGGCGCCCTCAAAAACATCGCGAGCGGGCGGGCCTGCTGCGAGTTCGTCGACAAGGCTCGGGCGGCGCACAAGGACGCGTACAAGTCCGTCAAGCACATTCGCCCGAAGAACGCGCCCGCCCTGAACGAGGGGCCGTTGGAGCGGCTGCGCTCCATGGCCATGGCGCGCGGCAAGTTCTTGGATTTCAGGGAGTTCGACGGCGCCGCGCCGGGCGCGGGGCTGGCCGATGACGACTTGAAGATGCTGAAGAACGCGGCGACCCTGATGGCGACGAAGCAGGGCGGTCTGCAGGGCTCCGCGATGAAAAGCGCCTTCGCCGCCTACGTGCGTCGCTGCATGCGGCCCCTCCAGAATAAGTCCATGGGGGGGATGACCTACGATCAAGCTTTCCGTGACTACGCCTGGGCGAAGTACTTGCACGGCAAGGCCCCCTACCATTTCGACCGGGCCAATCTCTTCCAAGGCGCGATCATGTCTGAATCCACGATGAAGCGGGACACGCGGCAGCAGAAGCAGGCTTTCGACTTCTTGGACCACTCCCGGGATAACCTCTACCACATTGCCCAGCACGGCTTCGGAGTCTTGCAGGAGGCGCGCGTGGCCCAGGCGATAGCGGTGGGGGATGAGATCACCAAGCTCCCGACCACGCGGTTCGAGCCCCAGCTCAGCGCCTACATCGGCGGCGCGACGCGCCACGCGAAGGCGCCGCCAGAGTCGATGGAGAAGCCCGCCGTCGACTATACGCAGACGTTGGCCAGCAAGTGCAAGATCATTGGCTTGGTGGGCCTTGGCGACGCGCCCCTGGCGGTCTTGCCCACGCGCCCCGGCGGCGCAGACGCCGGCGAGGATTCCGAGCTGAACGACATGATATCCCACATTGTCTTGCTGGCGCGGGGGCGGGCGGGGCCGGGCGACATCCAGGGCCCTGACCAGGCTGGGGCACCTCCCCCGTCGGCCCCGGGCCTGGTCGGGCATTGGTAGCGTCCGCCCCCGTCAGCCCCGGCGAGGTAGCCCGCGAGTTCGGCATCGAGATCCTGGGCATGCTCTTCGATTGCACGTCGAAGGAGGTCGGCTGGGTGAAGGACTGCGCGGCGAAGTGGATCGGCGCCAGCAACGAGGACCGCGCGACCATGATGTTCAGAGGCTTGGACCCCAAACATTGGTTCAAAATCGTGCGCAACAGCGCGTGCTTCGGGGGCGGGCGCCTGCCGCACGGCGGCTTCCTCGTGCCGAACGTAGAGGTTCTGGGCGCGCTCGGCGCCAGGGAAGATTGCGTCGTCATCAAAGACGTCTTCTCGGACTTGAAGGTGCGCAAGGTTTTCGACGCCTTGCCGGAATTCCCGCGCATTCTGTTCGAAGGCCAGCGCCCCCTCCACGAGGTGATGGGCACCGTCATGGTGTTCTACGTGCCCTTGTTGGTCGAGACTTGCTTGCAGGCGCGGTCGACGTCGTTCGCCCGCGCAGAGCGGTCCGACCCCCCGCCAGTGTATCAAAAATGCACCCTGCATGGGGAGGGTACATTTTTCTCTCTCCCGCCAGTGTATCAAAAATGGCGAGGACGTCTCAGGCGATCTGTTGGTTCCGGCATCCCCAAGAGGGCTGCAGGGGGGCATCTCCCTCGCCCCGTTCGCGCACAGGCGCGGTCGGCATCGTTCGCCCGCGCAGAGCGGTGCCACGCGCTCTTCTTCTGCCTGGTCTTCGCGTCTGGGTGGACCATGAACTCCTTGACCCGGGCGAACTCCTTGCTCTGCATCTTGCCGGTCGCGATGGCTCCGGCGAAGACCGCGGCGGGGCACCACAGGTGGGGCACTTTGATGTTGGAGTTCCTCTTCGACCTTCTCAGGGCCCACCAGAACTCGGATCAGCTGTCCGCGCAGGGCATGCTCCACGCGGTTCAGAACATACTCCTCGGCCGCGCAGCTAACTCGCACACCGCTGCGTGGACAGCTTATGCCACGCGCGCGAAGTCGGCCCCCCGACTGGGCCCCATCATCAAAGACCCGGAGCTGCTCGCCATCATCAACGACACCGCCGCCTCAGCAAGGAGCTCGCAGCTGAAGCGCGGCTGGGCCGAGGCCGCCTTGCCAGTCCTGCCCCGCCAGAGGTTCTAGACTTGGGCCGAGTTCAAGACGGCGTTCGCCGAGGCAGTGAAAGCTGACATTTCGGAGGAGGGCGCCCGCGAGCACGACGGTCACCACCCGTCTTCGCAGGCGGCCCGGGCGCGCCCGAAGAACATCGAGAATCTCGCCAAGGTGTTCGACGACCTCAAGACAGACGTCGCCACCAGCACGAACGCGGAGGACCGCGTCGGCGATCTGGTCGCGAGCCTCGCCGCGGACGGAAAGGACGTCGACGAGGCGCCAGACGCGTCGGACTTCACCCCGCCCGTCGGTTCCGAGCACGACGCCGAGATGATCGGGCCTATGTTCCGCAGGGCGCTCCAGAAGACGGACTCGGGCGCAATCCTTTCCTCTTCGATGCTCGAAGTTGTTATTGGCGGCCTTCTCGGTGCCGAAATTGCTTGTTTGCAGCGTTTAGCTTTCTAAATGTGCCGTTTGTGGCGTTTCGGGTTTCAAATTCAGCTTTCGGGCGTTGTTTTGCTGAAATGTGCAGTTTGGAACGTTTCTGCATTGACATTTGCTGTTTTATTTCGATGGTCAAATTTGTTTTTTATTTCCGGTGTTTTGGTGCTCAAATTCGCTGTTTGCGGCGTTTGAGTTTCAAATCTGCCATTTGCTGCGTTTGGTCTTTAAATTCCATGTTTTTTTTTGCGTTTTATTGCTCAAATGTGCCGTTTGCGGTTTTTCAATTGAAATTTGCTGTTTGCGGCGTTTCGATGCTCAAATTGTATTCAAAGTGTTTCGTTGTTCAAATTGCCGTTTGCGGCGTTTGGGTGTTGCAATGTACCGTCTGCGGCGTCTGGGTGCTCAAATGCGCCGTTTGCCGCGTTTTGGGGGGGTCAAATTTGTTGTTTACAGCATTCCGGTGCTCAAATTTGTTGTTCGTGGGGTTTCGGCCCTCAAATAGCTGCTTGCCGTTTCGGTGTTTAAATCTGCCGCTTGCGAATTTGTGGTGGTGAAATTGCTATTTGCAGCGTTAATGCGTTGTTTGCGGCGCCCCCGTGCTGAAATATGCGGTTTGCAGCGTTCCGCTGCTCAAATATGCTGTTTGCCAGAATCCAGCCATCATTGTCTCTCTGCGTTGCGCGCAGGATTGCGTCGCCCACTGCGTTACGGAAAGATGCAGCGCTTGGAAGCCCCAGCCTCGGAGTGGGCCAGTCTCTCCCACCTCGCCATTGGGGCCGCCATTGCAGGAAATTTCTACATTTCATCGCGCGCGGTTGCATTGTTCGGACAGGACAGCTTCAGAGGGCAGATTTTTTCGAGGATGGCGCGTGGAGCATGGGCTCGTCGAAAAAGTTCGACAGCGCACGCAGAAGTAGTATTTGTTAGATCTTGTTTTCATTGACATGCCAGATCTTATCTCTTGCATTGTCGAGCCACAAATCGCTGATCACAGTATTGTTCTCTGATTTGTCACGTTGCCAGCACTCACAGTGGGAGCGCTGGATCCACGCGCTGACTGGGGCGCCACGCGGAGAGGTGTCCGGAATCCGCACCGGAGTTAGATCTTTAATTCGTTTTTGGTTGATTTGATGCGGCAGCACATTTCTAGAAGCACAATTTCTTTTAGGATTTCGCATCCTTGGCTGTCCGCGCCGTCTTTGGCGTTCGTGCGTGACAAAGTAGCAGCAGCTGGAACACTGCACTTCCCGATAGCTCAACGGCGTAGCACTGGTTTGTTGCGAGGTTTTCAGCGATACATTTTTCGGGCGCGTCAGGGTCAAAATCATGGAATTTGCGCAGTAAATGTGTAAGTCTTCTTCTCCCCTCTTGCGCTCCAACGCGGGCGCCTGGATGTTGGAACGCCAAAGCATTTTTCGCTGGCGAATTCGTTTCTTTATTCGTGAAGCTTGCACGCCGTACTGTGTCCACAGGTGCATGGGCGAGGTGCTGGACAGAGCATTGGATCCAGTTGTTGTTTAAAAGAATAGCTGCACACGATGTCGCGAATTGCGGCGTCTCGTTGATCAAAATTAGTGATTGCGGCTCGAACTTGCTGTCTGCAGCCTTTTCGGTGCCCAAATTGCCTGTTTGCAGCGTTTGGGTTTCTCAATGTGCCGTTTGTGGCGTTTCGGGTTTCAAATTCGGTATTTGGGCGTTTTCTTGCTTAAATGTGTAGTTTGGGGCGTTGTTCGATTCAAATGTTGGTTCGCTTCGATGTTCAAATGTGTCTTCTGCTGTTCAAATTGCTGTTTGCGGCGTTTTCGTCTCCGTGGTTTAATGTGCCGTTCGCGTTGGTTGTGAGTTTTCGGCGCTCAGATTTCTGTTTGCGGCGTTTCCGTTAAATGTGCTGTTTTGCGGCGTTCGTATTGAAATTTGCTGTTTGCAGCGTTTCGATGCTCAAATTTGGTTTTTGCAATGTTCTGGTATGAAATTCTGCGGCGCTTCGGTGCTGAAATGTGCCGTTCGCGGCGTTTCGCTTATTTGCCGTTCGCCGCGTTTCGGTGTTTATATTTCTGTTCGCAGCGTTTCGGTGCTTAAATCTGTTGATTGTAGCGCTCTGGTGCCCTAGTTGCTTTGCGGCGTTTTGCTGTTTAAATGTGCACTTCACGGTGTTTCGGTGCTCAAACTTGCGGCTGCGGGCGCGGTTGCGGCTCGCGACTTGTTTTTCGTTTTTCATTTGGCCCCCTCTTGTTGCGAGTTGCCCGTTTTATGTTATTTGTTTTTGCGACTTTTCGTTTTCAGTTTCATTTGTTTTGTTCGTGCAAAGTTTGCATTTTTCATTTAATTATCAGCCCTGTTTTCTGCGCATTTTTATTATGATGTTCCGCCCTGTTTGGGCGAGTTTTCGTTTGATTTTTTCGTGCGTCCGGGAGATTCGGCGCGCGGCGTTGCCATTTAATTACAAAGAACAATTGTTATGTTTATGCTTGCATCGCGAAGGGTTACGGAAGTTGCGCTGAAATTCACAACTGCGCTTGTGCACGACAAAAGGCTTGCGGAAAGGGCGCAGAAGTAAAACAAGAGATGAAAAAGAAATTTAGTTAGAATTTTCGAAATATGTATGTATAGACACATTTGCACATACATATATACATACTGATATGTCTATACATATATATACACACAACATGTTTTATTGTATTATATTTGACTGATTTTAATTGTCCGGAAATCTGTTTTGGAACAGTGCCGTCGCTATTGTTTAAAAGTGGTTGAGATGTTGCGAATTGTTTTTCGCTGTTTTTGTTTGCCGGAGTTGGTTTGTGTGGGTTGGTTCGCGTCGCAGTTTTTTTTTTCGTAGCAGTGGGTAAGTGATTGGATTGGTTTTTTCTTCGTTGGTTTTTTGATTCATGGGTTAGATGTATATAAAGGGGAGTGATGTGTTTTTAGCGAAGTGTAATCCAATATTTATTTAATTGTTCACCCGTTTGAAGTTAGTAGTTTGGGTTTCGTTGGCTGTTCGTTTGTCGTTGAAGCAAAGTAGTTAATTCTGGAATTTTATGTTGTCGCTCGTTTTTCGGAGCGGGTGGGTATGTATCCACGAGGTTCGTTGTTTGTCGTTTACTCAGGGACTTAAGTATTACGATCTTGAGATTGTTCGTCGTTTTTCACGCGATGTAACTTGAATAGCTTAGAGACCCTCCTCATGACGACGACGGGAACGACGACGATGACGAGGACGACGACGACGACGACGACGACGACAAGGACGACGAGGACAACGACGGCGACGACGACGACGACGACGAGGACGACGGGGACGACGACGACGAGGACGACGACGACGATGACGCAGACGACGACGAGGAGGACGACGACGACGACGACGGGGACGACGAGGACGATGACGACGACTGCGAGGACGACGACGAGGACGACGACGACGACGACAACCAGGACGAAGACGACGACGACGCTGACGACGACCACGACGACGACGACGAGGACGACCAGGACGACGAGGACGACGACGACAACGACGACGTCGACTACGACGACGACGACAACGAGGACGACACCAACGGCGACGACGGCGAAGCGACGACGACGGGGACGCCGACGATGACGACGAAGACGACGACGACGACGGCGAGGACGAGGCCAACGACGACAACGACGACGTTGACTACGACGACGGCGACGAGGACGACGACGACGGCGACGACGGCGAAGCGACGACGACGGGGACGCCAACGATGACGACGAAGACGACGACGACGAGGACGACGACGACGAGGACGACGACCACGACGACGACGACGACGACGACGACGACGACGACTTGTTCGACGACGTCGAGGACGACGACGAGGAGGACGACGACGACGACGACGACGACGACGAGGACGACGACAACAGCGACGACGACGACGACGAAAACGACGATGACGAGGACGACGGCGACGAGGACGACGACGACGACGACGACGAAGTGGACGACGACGACGGCGACGACGGCGACGAGGACGATGACGACGATGACGACGACGACGAGGACGAGGACGAGGACCACGCGGAGGCCGACGAAGACGACGACGTCGACGACGAGGACGACGACGACGACGACGAAGAGGACGACGACGACGACGACGACGACGACGACGAGGACGACGAGGACGACGGGGACGACGACGATGACGACGACGACGAGGACGACGACGACGACGACGACGGGGACGACGAGGACGATGACGACGACTACGAGGACGACGACGAGGACGACGACGACGACAACCAGGACGAAGACGACGACGACGCTGACGACGACCACGACGACGACGACGAGGACGACCAGGACGACGAGGCGGTGACGAGGACAACCACGACGACGACGACGACGACGACGAGGACAACGACAACAACGACGAGGACCACGACGATGACGACGACGATGACAAGGAGGACGAGGACGACGACGACGACGACGAGGACGACGACGACGACGAGGACGACGACGACGAGGACGGCGACGACGACGACGACGACGACGAGGACGACGACGATGACGACGACGACGACGACGAGGACGACGACGAGGCTGACGATGACGACGACGACGACGACGACGACGACGATGACAGCGACGACGACGAGAGGACAACGGCGACGACGAGGACGACGACGACGACGACGAGAACGACGACGACGACGACTAGGACGACGAGGACGCGGACGACGATGACGACGAGGGCGACGACGGACGACGACGACGACGGAAACGACGACGACGACGAGGACAGAGGACGACGACGACGACGACGGAAACGACGACGACGACGACGACGACGAGGACGACGGTGACGACGACGACGACGGACGAGAACGACGACGACGACGACAACGACGACGACGACGAGGACGACGAAGACGACGACGGCGACGATGACGGCGCCGACGACGGCGACGACAACGACGAGGACGACGTCGGACGACGACGACGACGGACGACGAGGACGACGACGACGACGTCGATGACGACGACGACGACGAGGGACGAGGACGACGACGACGACGACGGACGACCACGACGACGCGACGACGGACGACGACGACGACGGGACGACGACGACGACGCGACGACCAGGACGACGACGATCAGGACGACGACGGCGAGACGACGACGACGACGACGAGGAGGACGACGATGACGACGACGAATACGACGGCGACGACGAGGACGACGACGACGACAAGGACAACGACGAGGACGACGACGATGACGACGACGACGACCACGACGACGACGACGACGACGGCGAGCACGACATCGACGACGACGACGACGACGACGACGACAACGAGTACGACGACGACGACGAGGACCATGACGAGGACGACTACGACAACGACGACGACGACGACGACGACGACGACGACGACAACATCGACGACGACGAGAACGACGACGACGACGACGACGAGGACGACGGCGACGACGACGACGACAAGGACCATGACGACGACGACGACGAGGACGACGACGACGACGAGGACGGCGACGGCGATGACGACGACGACGACGACGAGGACGACGACGACGACGACGACGACGACGACGACGACGGACTGCGTCGACGACGACGAGGACGACGGCTACGACGACGACGACGACGACGAGGAGGTACGATGACGAGACGACGACGAGGACGACGACGACGACGACGACGGACGACGACGACGACGACGACGACGACGACGACGACGACGACGAGGACGACGACGACGACGACGACGAGGACGACGACGGACGACGACGACGAGACGACGACGAGACGACGACGACGACGACGACGACGAGGACGACGACGACGACAACGGCGACGACGACGAAAGAGACGACGACGACGACGACGACGACGAGGACGAGGACGACGACGAATACGACGGCGACGACGATGACGACGACGACGAGGACGACGAGGACGCGTCGACGACAATGACGACGAGGACGACGACGACGACGACGACGAGGACGACTACGACGAGGACGACGACGACGACGACCAGGACGACGACGACGACGGGGACGGCGACGACGACGACGACGACGACGACGATCAGGACGACGACGACGACGAGGACGAGGACGACGACGACGACGACGACGACGACGACGACGACGACGGCGACTACGACGACGACAGCGAGGACGACGACGATGATCACGACGACGACGACGAGGACGATCAGGACGACGACGACGACGAGGACGACGACGACGACGACGAGGACGACCACGACAACGACGAGGACGACGACAACGACGACGAGGGCGACGACGACGACGACGACGACGACGACGACGACGAGTACGACGCTGACGACGACGACGAGGACGACGACGACGACGACGACGACGACGACGACGACGACGACGGCGACGACGACGACGACGACGTTTCCGAAGACGACGACGGCGAGGACGACGACGACGACGACGACGACGACGAGCCGGGCCCCGGCAGCGGCGCGGGCGTTCGAGGCGGTGACGAGGACAACCACGACGACGACGACGACGACGACGAGGACGACGACGACGACGACGACGAGGACAACGACGACAACGACGACGACGACGACGAGGACGACGACGACGACGACGACGACGGCGACGACGACGGCGACGACGACGGCGACGACGACGACGACGACGACGACGACGACGACGACGAGGACCACGACGACGACGACGACGACGACGAGGACGAGGACGAGGACGACGACGATGACGACGAGGACCACGACGAGGACGACGACGACGACGACGACGACGACGACGACGAGGACGACGACGACGACGAGGACGGCGACGGCAACGACGACGACGAGGACGACGAGGACGACGACGACGACGACGAGGACGAGGATGACGACGACGAGGAATTCGGGGACGACGACGACGAGGACGACGACGACGACGACGACGACGACGACGACGACGACAACGACGACGACGACAACGACGACGACGACAACGACGACGATCAGGACGACGACGACGATTGCCAGAAAATTATTGGGGATGAAAAACTCGCCCCGGGGGATTGCCCCAGGGTTCAGGACCCGATTCCCCAAGCTAAACCATTTCCGATGTCGCGACGCGAGTTTGCCGGGTGAGAGCGTTTGCTACGCATCAGCACCGAACCCAGCCGGGCCCAATTCAGGCCCAGGGTTTGCGCATGCGCCCTCCATCCTGACCAGAACGGCGCATATACCCATCTTGAGCCCATGTTCGCTTTGCCAGGGTCAGCGGTGGTGTGCATGTGGCGTCACCCGAATGAAAAGAGGAGGAGGAGGAAAAGGAGGAGAAGGAGGAGGAAGAAGCAGGGAGAGGAGGAGAAGGAGGAGAAGGAGGAGGAGGAGAAGGAGGAGTAGAAGAGGAGGAGGAGGAGCAGGGGGAGGACATCAGGAGGAGGAGGAGGAGGACGAAGAGGGGGGGAGGGGGAAGGGGAGGAGGAGGAGGAGGAGGAGGAGGAGGAGGAGGAGGAGGAGAAGAAGGAGCGGGTGGGGGATCTGCAGCCGCCGCGCTCAATGCTTTCCAAGCCGTGTTTTGGGGAGCCCGCGCATTTGGTGCGGACCGCCCGATTTTGAAGGCCAGGCTCGTGCCGAGGAGGAGGAAGAAAAGGAGGAGGAGGAGGAGGAGGAAGAGGAGGAGGAGGAGGAGGAGGAGGAGGAGAGGAGAAGGGAGGAGGAGAGGAGGAGGAGGAGGAAGAGAGACCAGATGAGGGAGAGGAGGGAGGGGAGGAGGGAGGGAGGGAAGGAGGGAGTTGAGGAGGGCAGGGAGGGAGGCAGAAAGGGAAGGGTGAGGAAGTGAAAAAGAGGGAGAGGAATAAGAGCGGCGGGAAGGGCGGAGGACGTGGAGGAAAAGACGAGGACGAGGGAGGAGAAGGAGGAGGAAGAGGAGAAGGAGGAGGAGGAGGAGTTGGAGTATGACATGGTTCGTCCATGCCGACTGCTAGTGGCGAGCACAGCATCGGCTGCGGCAGATGCAACGCAATTAAAGATAGATCTCTGGCCTATCAATGCAGCTTCTCCTGCGATTTTCGGCACTGGGGTGGTGCGGTAAACCATCCAGCAATGCTGGGCAGCCGACCCCAGATGCACCACATCTTCCGCGTCCTCCTCCATCCCCAGCACTCATCATCATCGTCATCATTATCCACATCAGCATCATCATCATCATCATCATCATCATCATCATCATCATCAGCATCAGCATCAGCATCAGCATCATCAGCATCATCATCAACATCATCAGCATCAGCATCCTCATCCTCATCCTCATCCTCCACCTCCTTCTCCTCCTCCTCCTCCTCCACCTCCTTCTCCTCCTCCTCCTCCTCTTCCCCTTCCCCCTCCCCCCACCCCCTCCCTCCCTCCTCCTCCTCCCCCCTCCTCCCCCTCCTCCTCCTCCTCCTCCTCCTCTTCTCCTCCTCCTCCTCTACTTCTTCTCCTCCTTCTCCTGCTCCTCCTGCTTCTCCTACTACTTCTCCACCTCCTCCTCTACCTCCTCCTATTCCTCCTCCTCCTCCTCCTCCTCCTCTTCCTCCTCCTCATCATCATCATCAGCATCATCATCACCAGCGTTATCATCATCAGCATCATCATCAATCTCATCATCATTATCTTCCTCCTTTTCCTCCTACTCCCCCTTCCAAGTGAGGAGCGAAAGACAGCCACCCACGGAGCCGAGTGGCTCGACCCGCGCGACGCCCGATCGCGAAGGAAAAGTACCTTGCGCACCTCTCCCTTCCTCACCCGGACGTCCAACTGGGCCGGCCTTCTGAGAAGTTTCCTATAGAGGACCCCAAGATTGCCTTAAACTGCCCCAAGACGGCCCCAAGACAGACAAGGTAGCCCCAAGATGGTCCTAAAGGGCCCCAAGACGGCCCAGAGATGACCCTTTACATGGCCTCCGAAGGGGCAACACGGCCCAAGAGCACTTTAAGACAGCCCAATAAGCCTTCCCCGAATCCACAGAGGGCTCCTCAGAAGGCCGGAGGGCCTCTGAGAAGCCCCGCCGCCTTCTGAGAAGGCTTGCCCCCTCTTACTTCCCCCCTCGTTGCGCCGACGACTGGAGCCCAGGGGCGACAGCGACGACGACGGCCTTCATGCATAGGAAATCAGCGGAGCAAGAAGTCATGATGGTGGTGATGCGTTGCAAGATTTCCAGGTTCTCCTGCTGGCCCGCGCGAGTTCCAGGGACGAGGGTCGACGAGGGTCGCTAGATACTCCAGGACTGCTCCTGGAACGCATCCTGCGCAAAAGCGTCTCATCATGGCACCCCTCCCAGGGAGGAGAACGATGGGCGGCGCGCAAAGCGGGGTGGCGCGAGGGGAGGCGGCCTCCAAAGAAGGCGGGGGTCTTCTTTGAAGGCAGTTGACGTCTCGGAAGCCCTCCCGCGGCTTCTGAGGAGCCTTCTGGGAAGCATCCGGCCGCTTCCAAAAGGCCACCTGCCTTCCAAGGATCCCTCCCGCGTTATGAAAAGACCGTCCCCCTTGTGCCATGCCTTGCGCGCGCCGCCAAGCAGAAAATCCAACAAAAGCAAAACAGCAGCAACAACAACAACAACAGCAGCAGCAACAACAACAACAAGCATTTTACCCGAATGTTCTATGCATTTATATGCAGCATGCAATCAGCATGATACCTCCCCCATCATAAATGTGTTTTCCTTGCGCACGGGGGTCCGATATTCCCTCTCACTGATCTCCCGCCCGAGGAGGTCTTGACAACACCTTTTCCGAGGCTCTTCAACATCTCCAAACCGGATTGCACATCGCCTTCGCGATCTCCTTGCCCAGGCTTTTGCTTCTAAGCATCACGACGCCTGAGTGGCCTAAGGCGTGAGATTTTACAGCCTTTGGGAGAGCCCCGCGGAGAGTCCCCAGAGCCCCTAAGGGAACTTTCAGAGCTTGGGCCCCGACCCCTTTCCAGGGGCCGCTTCTGCGTAGGCCATGTTCTGATGGCGCCGGGGCTCATCGTCGTCGTCGTCGCCACCGCCACCGCCACCGCCACTGCCGCCGCCGCCGTCGTCGTCATCGTCGTCGTCGGGCCCCGAAGCGGTCTGGGGGGTTCGAGTTGCCGAGGACATCTCAGGCGAGGGCGCCCGTTCGGGATTCTGCGCCAGGTTTCGCCAGAGTCGCCGGCAACAGAACAGGCAAGCTGGCGCGTCGCCGGAAACAGAAAAGGAGGCTGGCGAGAAAGCTGGCAGGCAAGAGGGAGAAGAGGAAGGAAAAGGAGGGAAGGAGGGAGAGGGAGGGAAAGGGGGGGAAGGCCCCGGCGGCTGGCGTGATAATTGGCGTGAAAGATGGAAAGATGCAAGGGAAAGCGCGAGAAAGATAAAGAAAGTTGGCGAGATAGAGGGAAAAGCGGGAGAAAGTTGGGGAAAGCTGGCGGAGAGAAAAGCACGGGAAAGATAGGGAAGATAGAAAAAGTGAGGGGGGGAGGAAGGAGAGAGGGAGAGAGAGGTCAACGACGACCACGCCGACGCCGATGACGACGACGACGACGACGATGACGAACACGACCACGACCACCACGACCACGACCACGACGACGATGACGACGACGACGACGACGGCGGCGGCGGCGGCGGCGACGACGACGGCGACGACGCCACGCCCCAGGACACGAGTGAGAGGGAGGTCGCGCGGCGCAGGCGCGAGAGCGCGAAAGCGCACTCAGGGCGTCCAGCATTTTTTATTTGTTTGATGATTGTTTTACAATTAAAGTTCAAGGGGGATTAGGGAAGCCGCGGGGCCTCTTGGGAGTCTTGAGTAAAAGCGGAGGAAGTGTCAAACGGGAGCGTCGTTGTTTGTAGGGGGTCCTGAGGCGGGAGCGCCGGTCCTGAGGTGAAAAGCAAGGAAATATCGAGCGGGAGCGCCGATGCTCATGGAAAGTCGGCCTTGGGGGGCGAGCAGAGGATGTATCGAGCCAAAGCGATGTTGTTGTTGGGGGGCGGTTTTGGCGCACCCCCGAGACGCCTGAGCGCGAGCTGAAGTTTCAGAGGACATTCGGCCGGCGCCTAGGCGAGAGCGCACTCAGCGTGCCAAACACTAACAACAATTGTTTAGTGAGTCAGGTTCAACAGCCACAAAAACAAGAACAGCAGCAACAACAACAATCATTACAAGACTGTTCGCTCTTATCTGCTCGCGCGCCAGTCAACACGTTAATCCCGAACCCTGGGCACCCACCCTCTTCGTCTTCGATCGCACCCCCCTGGGGCATATCTACCTTACCTGCCGCATGCAACTGGCGCAATCAATGAAACAGTGGAAGAGACGACGGATGGAAAGGGGGCGAAAAGGATGGAGCACGGGATTAGCAGGGGGGCTTAGGAGCAGAAAACACGCGACGGAACCAAACGGACAAATCGGGCGGGTAGACCCTGACGGGCGGGTCGGGGAGGCGGGCCCAAGCGACCAAATCGAGAAGGCGCGTTGCTGAAGCGTGAGTATTGCATGAATCGCGAGGAGAGCTCGAGCGATAACGCGATTTCCAATTAAATCGTCAGAAAAAGCCAGAACGAGAGCGTGATTTTTGAGTGTCGAGGGCGCGGCGTCTGAATAAATTGCGAGGGCGCCCCACGGGAGAGCGCGATTTTTCCACAACTTGTGAAAAGTCCCGCGCGAGAGCGCAATGTTGGAATACATCGCGCGGAAATGTCAGGCGGGAGCCGTTGTTGTTATAGCCAGGGGGGCAGCAACACAGTTTTGTGACGTGTTTGTGGGCGATTCGTGATTGTGTCGCCATTCGCAGGAGGGGAATGAGGGGTTGAGAGAAGGGCACCGTCGACCATCGACCCTGTCGCCATCAGCGTGCAGCGTGCAGGGGGTGGGAAGAGAGGTGGAGGAGGAAAGGGGGAGGAAGAGGAAGGAAGAGGGGTGAGGAGATGGAGTTCAGAAAGAGCCCTTCCTCGCTTCTCATCCACCTCCCCCTCGTCTTCTTTTTCCTCGTATATTATAAGCCGCTTCAAGCAAGCAGAAGAACTGATGTAGCTATTGATGCAGTACCCTCCGTCCTCGAACGGTTCTCCCTCGAGGTCGTATTCCGCTTTCTCATGATGTATTCGGCGCAGTCATCCCATCATCCGGTTACTTGATTCCCTAGTCCTTCTCTTTTTCTTCCACCTCCCTTCTGTCTGTCTCCATTGTCCACTTTAGTGTTTGATTCGATGATGTGGTAACTCTCTTCTTCATCATGCTTCGGGTCGTGTTCCTCTTCTGCATGCTACTCTTGATCCCGCGCTGGATGTTCCTGTTCGTTCTCGAATTCAGTGTCCGCTTCCACATATTTTCTCGTGTCCCCCTTGATGCTATAATTTGTCACTGTCTTTCTCCATCCCTCTCTGCCCATCACCCCGAAGCGGAGCTGTGCGCAGCACCCCGCCCTGAACCCAAAAACCCATGAGAGTGCAAAGCGAGCCGTGCCGATGAAGCTGACAAGCCAGAGCAGCGAGGGTTGGCAAAACCAGCCAGACCAGCCAGGAGCGTACGCTCAACATCGCGCAGCAATCCTGCAGCGCAAACAGGTGGTCCCTGCAGGCCCTTGAATGTAGTCCTGAATATAGTTTGAGTCTCTGTGCTGCACCCGTCGTGGGGGCCCAGCCAAAGGACAACGGCCAGAGCGAGAACCAAGAGCGGCAGCAGCACAGAGAAAACAGGAAAAAGAGGCGGATAGTCTGATTCAAGGTGGCAGTCGGGATGCTCGGAGAACCTGGGGTGCAAACTATGTGATACCAATGGACCGCGGCAGGTGTGGTTCTCGAGGGCAGAATCTGGTTGTGACGATCGAGCTATCGCTGCGACGAGAAAGCTGGCGCCGCGGATCAAAATACTTCTCGTCCTCCTCCTGCTCCTCCATGCGCTGCACAGACATGGATAAAACATCAGCGGGTGCACCCAGGGGCGCGAAAAATAGGCAGGTGAGCGCGAGAGGCATGAGAAAACGCGCCGCTGGGGTCAGCTTTCACTTACGTGCTGGCCAGGCAGGGCTGGGAGCCAAGAGCGAGCGGGGTGCACTCGGGGGCCATGAAGAGCAAGGAGACAAGCGACGCAGGGGTCCTTTCTTGCGCAACGTGCCTGGCCAAACAGCGGGCACGATCGGAGTGAGCTTCCTGGCAACTGCGCTGATCACACGATGCGCTCCGCACGCGAGCGGGCAGGCTCGGAGCGAGCTTCCTGACCGCGACGGCCGCCGTTTGAGACAGCTGTTCGTATCCTTCGGCGCCTATCGGTCGTTGCCTGGGCCACCCACCCCCCCACCGGGTAGCGGCAACGATCGTACGCAGGGGGAGGGCCCTGGGCCCCCCGACCACATGCTGGTGCCTGCGCGCACACCATGGCGATGGCAGCGCACCCCCGCCCCGACATGCCCCACCCCGCACAAGCGTTACCGTCACTTGGGGCCCCACCTCCACCATTCGACCCCGGGTAATGACATTTACCAGACATGAGATGTGTATCCATATACATATCTATAGATATATATATATATATACAGGGTATACAATATAAACAAATAGGCCGGGCCCCCTCCCGGGGCCTCCTCCACCTCGCTCACATCTGGTGCACGCTCCCGGTACCGCGCTTCCCGGCCTCCCGGGGAGCCCCCACAATGCCCAAAGACAGTCAAAGACGACCCCAAGAAGCCCCCGCAACGGTAAAGAAATGCCCAAGACGCTCCCGAGCAACCCAGGATAGCTTTCGGGCGGCTCCCCAGGCTC